GACTGGCAGCTGCTCTCTAGGGTCTCATAGAAAGAGATCCCTCACCTCATTTGCTACCTGATCTGTTACAACTACACTGCCTGCCTGTATGCTTCTGAGCCCAATTCAAAGTGATGGTTTTGACTTATCAAGCTATTTATGGTTCAGGACCCCAATATCTTCCAGAACACCTGTCTACCTGGACTCTTAGATCTTCTTCTGAGGCTCTTCTCTGGGTCTCCCTTGAAGGGTGGTGGCAAGAAAGAGGGCCTTTCAAGATGTTGCTCCCTATTTCTGAAATGCTCTCCGTAGCAAGGGCCATCTGGTTTCTTCACTGACATGTTTTCAGCACCAGGTAAAGGTTTAGCTTTTCCCTCAGGCTTTTAATGGACTGGGATCAGGGTGTTTGTGTTAGTATATTTGTGTGCTGCCCAATGGCTGCCTATAAGCTCCCTGTGACTGTTTGGTGTATACAGTGGTAACTCGGGTTACAGACGCTTCAGGTTACAGACTCCGCTAACCCAGAAATAATACCTCGGGTTAAGAACTTTGCTTCAGGATGAGAACAGAAATCACACGGTGGCGGCGCAGCAGCAGCGGGAGGCCCCATTAGCTAAAGTGGTGCTTCAGGTTAAGAACAGTTTCAGGTTAAGAATGGACCTCCGGAACGAATTAAGTACATATCCAGAGGTACCACTGTATATATTTCTGTATATATTTGAATAAATGGGAGGTGTTCTGTATGATTTTGTAATATAATGTAGCTATCTTTATGTTTTTAAATGTGTTGTAAATTACTTGCAGACCTTTGGGTAGCAAGCAACTAACAAGCCATAAGAATAAGAATAAGAATATCATTTTCTTTCATTGCAATGTGAGATTATTGCAAAGTGGGAACGAGAATCAAATGAAGGCCATTTATTTCACATTTTCTATATTCATTAAGTCTAGGGTTAAGCCAATGATTTAACAAGGTTTGTTATGACGGTTACATCGGGTTCTTATCCAGGTGTCTGCAGAGCATGAATCATAACCGGAGGAGCCAGCTATAAGATCAAGGCCGAGTTGCCAGGACAATAAATGAAAATGAAGACGATAGAACACCCACATATTCACAGATTGAACTAGATAATCCTAATAGCAGCCAGTCTATCGGAAAGAACACGTGGGCCCTTTGTTAGTTAGCACACCCACCAGCTACTTTGTGTGCCCTCAGATAGAGATCAAGGATGAGGAAGCTAGCAGAAGGGTCTTGTTGGCAGATGATGGTGTTTATCTCTCTGCAGGATGAGCCCCTGGTTAATACTGTTAGATTTTGTAATAGCGTTGCGCTCAGAACCTAGTAACTCCAGCCATGCCATTAAGTATTAATTCCTCTTCTGTGACATAGGCCAATAATGTCCTCTTCTCCTTACCAGCTGAGTGAGCAACATTGCCAGTTAGTATCACTTGTTCTAGGAAAGGAGAAGAGGCTCAGTGGGCCTCTTCCAACTTCAGTGGTGCTGTCTCCTGCCTGCTGTCTCGATTCCCTCCATTGGGATGGGGACAGGTGTTACTGTGAAGCTTGACTTAGACCTTTCTGTGTCCCGAAACTATGGGTGTGTAAATTGGCTTTGTTCTGAGTTGGAAGTGCAAGCGAGTATAAGCCAACTCTGATTCTAGTAAGATAACGAAAACATGAGCAGGTCTGCCAAACCTAGTGAACCCCACAGCAAATAGTGCTATATTTATTGCAAGGGTTGCCCCTTGAGAGCAATGGATTGCATCCAGAAAACAGGTGCCAGCTTAATTAAAGGCAGCCCCCTAGTTTGCATTTCTTGAGAAATCCAATCTCAGCCGTCACCAATCTCAGCACAGGATCACTCCTGAAACATGTGTTTCGTGAAGACCACTGTGTGATTCTGCCACAGTTCTGTAAGTGATAGTGACTTGTGATAGTTCAGTACCTGTTTTCCGCTTCGTTATGTAAAGTCTCCTATGCCCCTCCTGGACATTAAGAAAATCACCTTGGCAAGTTAGGTCAACACCCATAGATCACTGCCTCCCATATAACCAGACTGCGTTTGCATCCTCAAGTTTGTTCAACTTTGGGGACATGCCCAGAAGGCTGCTCCATGCTTCTTCTTGAAGATTATATGACCCCATTAATTGTGGCAGAAGCATACCTCACTTTTCACCAACTGTGATGGCCTGGGAACCTGATTCAGAGGCTGAACCTGAGGAATCCCAGCCTGCACAGGAGTCCCTGCCTCCAGGGCCGGCTGAGCCAGGGTAGGGGCTTGAATCTGAAGGGCCCGCACCTGTGCCGGATCCTCAGGAGCAGACACCAGATGAGTCTGCTCTGGCTCCTGAGGTGATGGAGGACCCATTGCCTGCAGGTGCTCCACTCTCAGCCCCGTCAGAGGAAGCTGAGGTTGCCTCTGGGTCCGGTAACCCTCCAGCCTCTCCTGAGCTGCAGAGGCTCAGGGGAGAGAGGTGGAGGGAGTGCTCGCCTTAAGGCCAGGAGAGGCGAGTCACCTGTGGGCCGGGACCGCCCTAGGCCTCAGAGGAGATAAAGGTCAGTCAGCCCAGTCCCAGGTTGCGGGAGCAACATCGCTGGAAATCTGTTCCTGCCAGCACCCTGACCTGCTCTTCCAGAGTTCCTGACCACGCCCGGCTCCTTGTCTTGGACCCCACTTTGCCCTTGGCAGGCAGCCTACAGACCCTCGACTCAGGACCACACTCGGACCACGCCGCATGGTAACCCCCCCCCCGGGACCAGCACACCAACTTAGTTAGGATCCCCTTCTTGCCTCTCACCCCTGTACCCTTGCCTCTGATCCCTGTTTGTTGTTTTGCCCAGGAAAATTCAGAGTACTTTTCAGAGGACAGTGCTTTCCTAGCAAAGACTGTCTGCCATTCTTAACTATATAGAAAGGCCCTAAGGAACCCAAAGGAAAATAGTAAGTTTGGCTCTGGGGTTGTTTTAGTGTCATCCCTTTCAGACCCTCAGCAGGAGACAGATTATCTTAACCTCTCATATAATTTATTGAGTGTCCCTACAGGTCTGCTTGCTTTAAAGCCCACCTCAAAGTGCTGTGTACAGCATATCTCAGCTGGGAACTGTTGAAATGTATGGTGCACAAATCATGGGCTTGGTAGCCTGTGTAACATCTAAGGCAGGGGTAGGCAACCAAAGGCCCAGGGGCCAGATGTGGCCCAATCGCCTTCTCAATCCGGCCCGCGGACGGTCCGGGAATCAGCGTGTTTTTACATCAGTAGAATGTGTGCTTTTATTTAAAATGCATCTCTGGGTTATTTGTGGGGCCTGCCTGGTGTTTAGACATGAGTAGAATGTGTGCTTTTATTTAAAATGCATCTCTGGGTTATTTGTGGGGCCTGCCTGGTGTTTAGACATGAGTAGAATGTGTGCTTTTATTTAAAATGCATCTCTGGGTTATTTGTGGGGCATAGGAATTCGTTTATTTCCCCCCCTCCAAAATATAGTCCGGCCCCCCACATGGTCTGAGGGATGGTGGACCTGCCCATGGCTGAAAAAGGTTGCTGACCCCTGATATCTAAGGGTTTTATCTAAAGCAGCGTTAAGTCACAGTCCCATTAGCCCAAGGATTTCTTTGTGAACAGTGAGACTTCCCTCCTCTCCCCCTGTGTATCCATCCCCCCAATCTGTGCATGAGGAAGGAATGGGGTGGGGAAGTCTTAATGTGTAATCAGAGATCCTAGCACTAACAGGAAAGTCTAGTTAGATACACTCTCATTCTTTTCCGTACTGGCACTTCAAGCCACGGAGCCATTTTTTTTACTTTCTGACAGCTATTTGTGCAAATAAATATTCTAATGATATCAGCCTGCATGATCACTGCTAATTCCCCTAAGTGAGATAGATCATATTGACATTTATGAGTTATAGCTAAATTCTTCAGACGTAGGCGTTTGCTAGGGTAATTTTATCCATCACAATAATGTCTGTGGCATGCATTTGTCTCTAATAAAGAACCCCAAAATCATAATTCCATGAATACCTATGTAAAATATAGAAATCTGGTAACACAAGTAGCAAGTCATGGAGAAAATTAGGGTGCAAGCACCATCAAGGTGGGGAACTGCTTCATGGCAAGAATTCAAGCAGGAGGGCTTACTCACTCAAGCAGCACCCCCAACCCCCCACCTTTATTGCAGTGTGATGGATGTTCAGGTCATGGATCCCCTGACAACTCTGTGTTTGAGAAGCGCTGAGATGAATGGGGGCAGTTCTGCATACTTAGTGGTAAAGTGAATGAACCTTATACATGCTGAAAGGTACTGTTGTCTCTACAGTTGGTTCAATCACGTCCTCCTGGCATTGAAGAAGAAGAGAAGAAGAAGAAGAGTTTGGATTTGATATCCCGCCTTTCACTCCCCTTCAGGAGTCTCAAAGCAGCTAACATTCTCCTTTCCCTTCCTCCCCCACAACAAACACTCTGTGAGGTGAGTGGGGCTGAGAGACTTCAAAGAAGTGTGACTGGCCCAAGGTCACCCAGCAGCTGCATGTGGAGGAGCGGAGACGCGAACCCGGTTCCCCAAATTACGAGACTACCGCTCTTAACCACTACACCACACTGGCTCTCAGTTAAAGTACTGGAGCTGAATCCTGGCAACTCCTAGTTCAGATTCCTGTAGCATCACCACTGTAGCTGGACTGTAAGCAAAGAAGCCCAATGGCCTGACTGAAACCAACTAGCTGACAAATGCGTATGTTTCATGAAACTGGGAGTAAGTCCCATTGGCATTATCTCTTGAGTAAACATGCATCGGATTCATCAGCACTCCACCCTAGATCAAAAGGGTTTAGTGGAGCAAGTGGAGCTGGCTTACACCTGTAGCATTTCTCCCTCTCTCTCTGTTGCATTTACAATTTAACATAACAAGCCAGGAACACAGGAAGGTGCCTTGTACTGGGTTGGGCCATTGGGCCATCTAACTCAGCACTGTCTACACAGAGCAGCATCATTTCTCCAGGGTTTCAGACAGGGCTGTCTCCCAGACCTACCTAGAGATGCTAGGGCTTGAACCTGGGACCTTCTGCAAGTTAAACAGATGCTCTACCACTGAGCTGCAGGCCTCCCCCTAAGCCAGGCATAGGCAAACTCAGCCTTCCAGCTGTTTTAGGACTACAACTCCCATCATCCCTGACCACTGGTCCTGTTAGCTAGGGATGATGGGAGTTGTAGTCCCAAAACATCTGGAGGGCTGAGTTTGCCTATGCCTGCCCTCAGCCCTAAGGGTCTTGAATGGTCTTCTGGCTATACTTGGCTTGTAAAATGTCTCAGCACAGCTGTTTAATTGGGCAGGCACTCCACATGGACTCATTCATTCAAGATCTGACCACAACATTGGTGTGGCAGGGACAACCTTTCTCTTTCCTGTCCAATGAGCTACCAGTTCGTGTGAGGCTCCTGGAGGGAAGGAGGCAGAGCTGCTGCTGCTGCTGCTGCTTAGTCTCCCACATGCCTATTGAGTGTGGTGTTGACTCTTCTGTACTTATCTTGGCAAATCTTCTGCTCTTTTGCATACACTGATGTTTGCCTGCCTTTGCACCATTTCTGATACCTTTCTTTAAGGTCAATCAAGGAAATTGGTTGTTTGGGAGTAAAGCATGAAAAAAACTTGTGTTGCGAATACATGAACAGATGGCTTGTTACTCATTTACAAGTTCATTAAAAAGAACCAAATCGTGTAAGTGCAACAAAATAAAACCTTATATACCGTATTTTTCGCCCTATAGGACACACTTTTTCCCCTCCAAAAATGAAGGGGAAATGTGTGTGCATCCTATGGGGCAAATGCAGGCTTTCGCTGAAGCCTGGAGCGAGAGTGGTCGGTGCACACCGGCCCTCTCGCTCTCCAGGCTTCAGGAAGCTATCTGCAAGCCTGCGGAGTCCAGGCTTGCGGATAGCTGCCCGAAGCCCGGGGTGCGCAGTGGGCTACAGCGCCGCGATCCCCGGGCTTCAGATAGCAGCAAGCTCCGGGAGCGCTGGCGAGGTTGAGCGCAACCTCGCCACCACTCCCGGACCCGTTCTGGGGGCTGGGGTCGGGGGAAGCTCGGGCTTCCCCCGCCCCCAGCCCCGCAAGCTCTGGGAGCGATGGTGAGGTTGAGCGCTCCAGGACCCCCAGCCCCGAGGCTAAAAACGAAGCCAAGACAGCAAGCGGGATCCATCCCACTCGCTGTCATGGCTTCTTTGCTCTTTGGGGCTCGGGGGGGGGGGGATTTTCCCCCCCTTTATTCCCCCCCCAAAAATAAGTGCGCCCTATGGGCCGGTGCGCCCTATAGGGTGAAAAATACGGTATATTTCTAAGAAACACATGAATTTACAGAAACAGTTTAGAATGCACATCGAACGGTGTCCTTTCACTGCTATGAATGGGCCTTGAAACTCACTGTCCTTGTTTATGCAGTGTCTGTGACAGATCAATTTTAGAATAGTAGGGTCCCACAATTCACACTAGGCTGCCTCTGATATATTGAATTCCCCGAAGAAATTTTCATATTGTATAAGAAAAATAATAATTAGACGGAAAATGCATCTCTTTGCCCACAGTTTCCCATTTTTATTTTTATAGTTTATTGGAGACATGAATGTGCTGAAATTATATTTTCAGTACAAGAAGTTATACGTTCGACAAATACATACTTAACAGTAAACAATTAAAGCTAACAATACAAGAATAAACTCTGCCTAAATAAGTACAGACATGCATCTATACCATTTCATACTGTAGCAGAAGCACCATGTTAACAACACAGAGAAGCGAGGCAGGGGTGTTGATAGATACTTAAAAGACTCGAGGGACAGCCCACGGCACAGGTGGATTTAGGGCAGAACAAGTGGTTTGACCACACTGGGTGCTGAGCCGAGGAGTGCCATGAGGTGCTGCTACTATGACATAAGAGAACTGAGCAGAATAGAAGCTGAGGCAGGGGATGGGGTGGGTACTGAATTTTGGCCTCACACAGGGCACCGCTGAAATTTGAAAGACCGAAGTCTGCCCAGGCTCATTATACCAATTTGCGTAAAGTATACACATGCTAATTTTTATAAATAGGATGCAAATGTAGGCCAATTCAATGCAACTTTTAGAGGGGGAAAATAACTATAGTTCTTACTGTCAGAGCTTACTGTGAGCTATGGGGAACCCACAGGATTTTGCCCCCTGGGCAAATTAAGGTGGTAGGTGGCTGGAGACTTAAAAAGGGAGAAAGGGTCGAGAGATCTGGAAATGATACAAAAGGTACAAAGTATCCCCCCTAACAGCGTGCCTGAAGCAAGGGAACTTTCTTCTAGTTAAAGCTAGGGGTCTGTCCAATGGGACCTCCTTAGTCTGCACTCTCTCACAGTTGATTCCAAGTGAAATTAAACTGATGTACCAACATAGATCCATAGATGGGGCTGCAGCTCTCTCTATACACACTTACCTATACACACACTTAAACGGGGATTACTTCTGAGTAGACATGCATAGGAGTGCACTGTTATATAACTTTAATAGGAAAGCGATCATGTCATACTGAACAAGCTAGTCAGTAGAGAAACTCTTAAATAACTCATGTAAGTTATTAAATGGATGCTAAAGTGAAGCTGCAGTTACAGGTAGGTAGCCATGTTGGTCTGCCGTAGTCAAAACAAACAAACAATAATAATAATAAATCCTTCCAGTAGCATCTTAGAGACCAACTAAGTTTGTTATTGGTATGCGCTTTCGTGTGCACGCACACTTCTTCAGATACAGGAATTTTTTTATTTTGTTTCGAAAGAGAAGCTGGTACTTGAAGAGAGAATTGGAAAGAGTGGAGGATGTATCGGGAGCAGACTGTGAAGGAACTGTGCTTTGAAAGACACAGGCGAAAACACTTTTTGCTTAAGATGCCACAATGAAGCCATTGAAGGTGAATGCAACAGGTTGTATTCTTTCCACACATACTTAAAAAAAGAGAAAGTTGGCAGGATAGTACAATCACATCTTATGCAGGGGTTCAGTTCCAAAAGTTCTGCATATACATGAAAATGTGTATACTCAGATCCTTGGAACCACCCCCATACGAGCATCCCTAGCCTTCTGGAGCCAGAGCACTGAATGCCCCCCCCCCCAAGCAAGGCGTAGAGCTTTAAAGCTCTTTCTGTACCAGGTCTGCTTGGGTTACCTGGCACAAAAAGAGCTTCTAAGTTCTCTGCCTTGGGCATTTTCAAGCGGCTGACCTTCAACCATGCAAGATTGAAAGAACACAAGTTAAACGCTCATGCAACCGTACTGTAATATCTGCACACATTGCCCCTTTCCCCGACATTCATTACTGTACAGTTTTTGCAAGATGAGAAAGACAAGCCTCACTCGCTGATCTCATATTTATCATACGAACAATAATTTGGGTCCAAGCCTCTCCGGGTGCAGTCGGTGACGTCAGTGTTGCAGGTTCCGCAGTGACATTCTGTTGCCACTGGGTAGGAATAAAATGATTCTTCGTGACCAGCACAGCCTGGGATCTTGATAGTCTCATACACAACTGACTTGAATGTGCAGATGTTCTGGACATATCTCATTGCTAGGTTCTGATCAATTAGATCCTAATCATGACATAAAAAAGAGAGTCTGAATGTTAAATCCACATCCCACCAACGGCCTTTTAGCAGTGTCTAACCATGACTTTCTTTGATTTTGAAAAACCCTACCAAAACCCAAATTAAGGTGATTGATTATGTTCTTCCCTGACTTCAGTGATCTTTGGACAGCTTGTTAAACTAAAATCAATTCCTATTTTAAGACCTATCAAATCTGAAACATTTGTTACAAGACTAGCTGTCCTAGTTCTGTATCAAGTGGGTGACTTTGCTCTATAACAAAATAGGAAACCATATAAACTGGAACAAATTCCTTTGTGTGCAGAATTTCTTCTTTGAGCAAACAATAAAGTGCTTACTGCCTTGAACATAAGCTATGTTCACTGAGAATATAGAAGTCAACAACCCATTCAATGCAATCTGATGCAGAAGAAGTCCTTAAATGTACACGTTATCTTCATGTGAACAAATCATACAAATGCATATACTTATTAACCTGTTGGCTCCTCACCTTTGTTAAGCAGTAGCCAGAGCACCATGTTGTGTTCACGCTGATGCAGAAACCACACTCTTCCTTCTCCAGTGCTATTGTGATATTGGACAGCTGGCAGTAATTGCAGCAAACAGTTTGCCAGAAAAGCAACGCGACAAAGAAATTAATCGGCTTCATCCTGTAGTGCAAAGCAGAGGGGTCCTGGAGTACACTGAGACTTACAATTCAACATATCTTTAGAAGCAGACAATATTACCATTCTTCCCATGCTGATACAAAGGCAAGCTTTTAAAAAGAAAGGATAGTGGTACGTATGCATACATTCATAGAGTAAAGTCAGCAAAACAGTACTAAGGTTATTGTCAGAGGATAAGAGATTTGTTCAGCGAAATGAAGTCTTAATCCAGTTACACTTGAGAGAAAATAATGAAATAATGAAAAAAGGCATTTCTGCTGAATAGAAAGATATCTCAATTGCTCTTACAAATAAGCTCTGGAAACTTTTACATTCTTAAAAAAACCCAAAAACCAAACAAAACAGAATAAATGTATTTAAAAAGGCAGAGAAGATTCCTTTCTAAATGGCTTTTTTCAAAAAAAGTTCTACAAAGACCTTACCATTTCTGAAACAGTGTTAATTAAGAATCTGTTGAAAAGTTACCTGTCTTAGACTTGCCTTGCTGGAATTATGGTAGCTGTAAAGAGCGGAAAGCCTTCCGTTGCCCTTTTATACAAAATTAGATGCAACAGACACCTTGGAGGATTTGTGGGGTATTAAGACAACTGGCATCAGGTTACACCCTGATGAAAGAGAACAAATTTGTAGCCAGACGCGTGGGCGAAACCTTGCAAAATGAAGGCCATGGGTTTTACTGGTGTTTTCAATAGTACCTGTTTTAAAATGTCACCAGAAAGCCTTGGCTTGGGGCTGGTTTACGTATTGTGCTAGGAGTCCTATTAGCAACGTCACTTGGCAGTTAGGAAATAACTGGACAAGGTCACACAATGGATGGAGAGCTTTATACAGGTGTATCACTTTATACAGGTGTATCACTCTCCCATCTGCAGGGAATTCCTTTCTAATTTCTATGGTTTGCCCGTGATTAAAAGTGGTATGCATAAATGTAGGGTTCCATCCTTAGTATGATTGCTAAAAAACAGATCTCATGCAAACAACATTGAGCTAAAGAGACCAATAGGGTCTGTCTCAGTATCTTCTTATGTCTCAACAAAAATTTCTATCCAGGCTTCAAAAACATGGATCTTAAAATCAATCAGGGGTGGGAACTTGTTCAATGTGGTAGGCTGGATCAACAGCTGCCCCATGCCGCTGACAGGCGTGTGGGACTACCTGTCTGTCAGCCGCCTGACATCACCATGACATCAGCTGACCTCTCACCCCCCTCCCACTTTGCCATGCAGGTTGAACTCAAGGTGCGCTACAAATGAAGATCCTAGCCAATCCAATCAGGGCTTGAAGTCACTGCTGAACTGATTGATGGTGACCTCAAGTCCTGCTTGGATCAGCTGCACTTTGAAGTCCCTGACCGGAAACTCCAGAATGTAGCTTGTTCCAAAAGGAGGGGGCTTAGGCAATGTCTGTGTGACCTCCTTTTGGCTTGGGAGGTCGCTTGGGAGGAACAATTTGCCGTGTGTGTGTGTGTGTGAGGGGGGTTTTCATTTGGTGGAAAATTAAAAGACTCTGAATACAAGCCCCACTTGTCAGGGAACAATCAGGAGTACATTTTAAGAGTCCAAGTTGCTTCCTTAGCAGTCACATCTTTACTTGTCCGCACCCCACTTCAGTGAAAATATATATGAGGTGTGTATGGTCTATATTAAGGGACCCAGGTGGCGCTGTGGGTTAAACCACAGAGCCTAGGACTTGCCGATCAGAAGGTCGGTGGTTCGAATCCCCACGACGGGGTGAGCTCCCGTTGCTCGGTCCCTGCTCCTGCCAACCTAGCAGTTCGAAAGCACGTCAAAGTGCAAGTAGATAAAAAATAGGTACCGCTTCGGTGGGAAGGTAAACGGCGTTTCCGTGTAATGCTCTAGTTTGCCAGAAGCGGCTTAGTCATGCTGGCCACATGACCCGGAAGCTGTACGCCGGCTCCCTCGGCCAATAAAGTAAGATGAGCGCCACAACCCCAGAGTCGGTCACGACTGGACCTAATGGTCAGGGGTCCCTTTACCTTTTTATGGTCTATATTGAATTATGAATTATGGTCTGGAGGAGGCTCTTGAGAGTCCCATGGACTGCAAGAAGATCAAACCTATCCATTCTGAAGGAAATCAGCCCTGAGTGCTCACTGGAAGGACAGATCGTGAGGCTGAGGCGCCAATATTTTGGCCACCTCATGAGAAAAGAAGACTCCCTGGAAAAGACCCTGATGCTGGGAAAGATGGAGGGCACAAGGAGAAGGGGACAACAGAGGACGAGATGGTTGGACAGTGTCCTCGAAGCTACAAACATGAGTCTGACCAAGCTGCGGGAGGCAGTGGAAGACAGGAGTGCCTGGCGTGCTCTGGTCCATGGGGTCATGAAGAGTCGGACACAACTAAACATCTAAACAACAACAAATGGTCTATATTGAGAAGATATGTTTGGACCACAGCCATCAATACCAACAATTAAAAGGACGCCTTCCTAAATAAGAAAGCATCAGAAGCAACCCATTGAGAAGAACCCCTTGATACTGAAATGAAGGGGACTCTTCATAAGAGTGACTGAACAGAAGCCACATGTCATAATGCTCTGTTTAAAAAATACCTAACTTGCGAAGACAGAGGAAAGCAACGAAAACTAAACTATCTTCTATCCCTGCCTCACAGCAGACCTCTGCAAAAGTATCTGCAAAATCCTGACACAATCTTCCGAGAAGTATTGGGCAGTCTGCCTGCTAGACAGAAGAACCCCACCAGGCTGCTGTTAAACAAAATGATGCAGAACAAGAGTGTGTGTTCATGAGATAACAAACGGGCCTTTGTGTACACAAGGGGGAAGCTATAGCTAGTTCTAATATATGCTGGACTTGGTCAAGGGAATCATTCCATATCATACCCTATGAGCCAAATGCAAAAAGGAGGTTGAGATGTTTTAACAAGGGCCATGGCTGAACTAAAAACTTCCACTTCTGCACTGGGCAACCTTGCCAATAGAGAAGTTTTAGATTACCACCAGTGCTACACAATTGTGCGTTATTTCTCACAATGCTTCAACAAAACTCTACACAGTGGCTAGCGTTCCAACCTGGCTCAACTTATACTGCTGCTGTTTTCCCAAACATAAAATTAAAATGTGCTTAAACCTTTAAGCCATATTTGGATGTGTGGCTATAGAAGTCATTGCATGGCCCAGAGCCTTGTGGTGACAAGGCAGACTCGATCACATTTGTGATCCCCCCCCCCATTTTGATCATTTATTTCTAGACCAGTTTCCCAAAGGGTTGAATGCAACATGTTGATGGGATGGGAAGGGGAGCGAAATAAAACCCTAGGGGTTGAAAAGAGCCTAGGGTGCAAAATAAGTTTATAATTATAGTGTGAAAATTGTGTTAAGAAGTATGAGCCTCAGAAGTTAAGAAGTATGAGCATTGCCCATCATCAAGCAGACCATTGCCACATATTTACCAGTTAACTGCATCTTTATAGCGCAAAAAAATCGCAGGTCAACATAAAGATGTTCCAGAAGGTCTGTTTCTTGGCTTTTAGTTGATTTGCATTGTTCAGTTGTATCTGTGTAAAATAGCCCTGCAGAGAATAGTGTGGCTAGAGTATCACGAAAATGCTATAAAGGTAGCAGTTGTTGCTCTTGGCTGATGAGGTGATCTCACAATGTCACATTGAGTTGACTAATCATAGAAGCTATTGGATAAATCACCAGGCCTACTTCTTAATTGCTGGAAAGATTTGTTCCATGTTTAGTTGCAGTTTTGCAGCACATGCACAGCAATGCATTGTTTAAATCCATATAACCTTCATAATTTCCTACAATGGAAAAGGCTAGCAATGCGGATTCTGTCAGGGCTGCCAGCAGGGCACCTAATTAAACAAGCTTCTCTCAGTAATGGTCGGTGGAGGCCCAATTGGATATAGATGTCATTTAGATTAGTACATTCTTCAGAGCCATGGTGGATAAAAACCATGGTGGTTTAAAACATGTATTTCTTAGCTGGAAGTAAACCATCCCCATCTTTGGTCACATCCATGTCATACATTTAAAGCACATTTATACTGTTGCCTGCCACCCCAATTTCTGAGCATTATGAGATTCCAGGGGTTCCAGGTGCTTAACTATTGTGGTGTCTATGTGATATATGGTTTGTTTACACATCTACAACCTGAACCTACAACAGAGGGGTTCACAGGATTAACACCCCAAGAGAATCTTGTTTCTTCCATCGCCACAGTCTTGGATGCAAACAGACATCAAGCATCATAATCTGCCTCTCTGGCTTTCCAGCTTGCTACTTTACAGCGGGTGGTGCTATGGTCTAAACCACAGAGCCTAGGGCTTGCCGATCAGAAGGTCGGCGGTTCGAATCCCCACGACGGGGTGAGCTCCCATTGCTCAGTCCCAGCTCCTGCCAACCTAGCAGTTCGAAAGCACGTCAAAGTGCAAGTAGATAAATAGGTATCGCTGCGGCGGGAAGGTAAACGGCATTTCCGTGCACTGCTCTGGTTTTGCCAGAAGCAGCTTAGTCATGCTGGCCACATGACCCGGAAGCTGTACGCCGGCTCCCTCGGCCAGTAAAGTGAGATGAGCGCCGCAATCCCAGAGTCAGCCATGACTGGACCTAATGGTCAGGGGTCCCTTTACCTTTACCCTTTACTTTGCTTCTAGGTCACATCACTCCTAACCTCTCAACTCTGAACTCTGACTTTATCTGTTGAGGGAAACCCATTTGCCGTCTCATAGGAGCCCTTTGATTCTTTCTTCTCTTAATGGCCCATCTCTCAGGTGCAAGTCTGGCTATTTCCTGGAATTTGAAGGCTTGCTTAGCTTTTAACACTGGCTGTATCCAGGAATTAGAAAGGTCTGGCATCTATCTTAATACCCCAAGGCTTGATAATTCTAACACTTGCTGGGTCCAGGGATTATAGGCGTTCATGAAATACTACACAATGCAGTAAGAGTCCAAAGAAGTGCTCAACAATATGTTTGTGAAAGTCACAAA